CACCGTCACCGACATGACGCTCACGCGCGAGTCTTGCCCGCAGTGCGTGGTCACCATGGACATCCCGCGCTGCTCCTGCAGCATCCAGAACCCGGGCGACCCGTCGGCGCCGCCCAAGACCTTCACCTTCGACGGCGTGTACCCGACGGGCTCCAACACGGAGCAGCTCTACAACGAGATCGCCTACCCGCTCGTCGAGGTGAGTGAGTTGAGCGCCTCGCTCTTATGTTGACTCCCGCGCTGTCGGGGAATCCCCTCGGTGATTGTAATGACGTGGATGATGGTTCTGCCCCCCCGCGCGACCGCGAACCGAAGCGCATGGGCGGCGGCGGTGACCTTCGCTGCGCTTCGGCGCCTCTCGTGCAGCGAGCAATTATAACGTCATTCTGATGCGATACGCCGCGGGACGGTTCACTCGCAACAGCTGTGACTCGCGGGCGTCCGCACTCCTCCTGGAGCAGGACCATAATGTCGGGAAGGGAGTCCGTCCTCATAATGCCTCGTGTGTTGTTGTTTGGTGCGCGTGCAGGGCGTGCTGGAGGGGTACAACAGCACCGTGTTCGCCTACGGCCAGACGGGCTGCGGCAAGAGCTTCACGATGCAGGGGGTGCGCGAGCCCGCCAACCAGCGGGGCATCATACCGCGCGCCTTCGAGCACGTGTTCGAGGCCGTGGCCGTGGACGCCAAGCACCGCTTCCTCGTGCTCGCCTCCTACCTCGAGATCTACAACGAGGAGATCCGGGACCTGCTCGGCCCAGACCCGCGCCGCGGCCTCGAGCTGCGGGAGAACGCGGAGAGGGGCGTGTACGTGCACGGTGAGTCGATGCAGTCGGAAATAACTCGATACGGGCCATTTTAGCTAGTTTTGGTCGGTTTGGGGTGACTCGCCTTCTCTGACGCCGTGCTTGCTTTCAGACCTCTCCTCGCATCCCGTGCAGAGCGTCGCGGACTGCGAGCGCCTCATGGATAGGGGGTGGCGGAACCGAGCGGTGGGCGCCACCCTCATGAACGCCGAGTCGTCCAGGTAAGTGCGGGGCGGGGCTCTGGAGTGCGGCGATCTTTAATTTCAAGCGACCTCGTGATTACTGACCTTGCCCCTCTCTCCCGCCGCAGGTCGCACTCCATCTTCAGCATATCGCTGGAGATGATGGCGGTGGAGGAGGGCCGCAAGCCCGGGCTGGCCGGGCCCGCGTCGGCCAAGGCGTGCGGCCTGGGCGAGGGGCGCATCCGGCGGGGCAAGCTCAACCTGGTGGACTTGGCGGGCAGCGAGCGCCAGGCCAAGACGGGCGCCACGGGCGAGCGCCTCAAGGAGGCCATGAAGATCAACCTGTCGCTGTCCGCGCTGGGCAACGTCATCTCGGCGCTCGTGGACGGCAAGAGCAAGCACATCCCCTACCGGGACTCCAAGCTGACGCGCCTGCTGCAGGTAAAAGCGCACAATAGGCTAACCCGCGCGCGAGCCGATCGACCTATGCATCCGACCGGAAAGCGACCGACGAATGTCCACTCGGGCGATGGGAATCACGGTAAACGCTTGACTTCCAAACAATATTTGGACGTCGCACACGTCGGCTGGTCGACACGACAGTGCAGGGTGACCGGATCGCGGCCCTTCCTAGCAGCGGCGTATGAATGAAAAATTCAAAGGTCGCTCCGCGGGGCGTTACCCCCCGAAGTCCAAGCCGTCGTCGAAATGCGTAGCGTGGGAACAGGGGGAGGGGCGGGGCGAAGGATGAGTGGAGGGGGCGGGGACATTGCCACTCAATACCTCTCAATCGATGTGCTGCTCCTGTGATGCCCTCCTCGAAAGGGTCAACGCTATGCACGCCCGGACAACCAGGAACCACGTAACACCGTGTGGCTCCGCGCGCCCCCTCAAGTCGACGTTGTTGTTGTTGATGTGTGCAGGACTCCCTCGGCGGCAACACCAAGACACTCATGGTGGCCTGCCTGTCGCCCGCCGACAACAACTACGACGAGACGCTCTCCACGCTGCGGTACGCCAACCGCGCCAAGAACATCAGCAACCGGCCGCACATCAACGAGGACCCCAAGGACACCATGCTGCGCGAGTACCAGGACGAGATCCGCAAGCTCAAGGAAATGCTGGCCTCGGGGGGCACCGCCCTGACCGCGATGCTCGGCGGCGGCGAGGCCAAGGAGGAGGTCGTTCTGGGTGTGTCTTCGACCTCACCTGCTAATGACTGATTATTTTTCCTCAAACCATTTTTCCTCAAGGCTCTTTTTTCCTTGCGATAACAGATGCGGACAAGATTCGGCGCGAGTACGATCAGGAGATGGTGCGGCTGCGCGAGCAGTACAAGGCCGAGCAGGACTCGAAGGCCCAGCTGCAGGCGGACCTCCACCGCCTACGCGTCCAATTCGAGGAGAACATGGCGCAGGCCGAGGCGCAGAAGAGCAAGGCGGACGCCATCGCAAACGGCGGGTCCCCTGTTTCCCCGGGGTAAGCACAACAAACAAGACAACAAGGAGCCCCTTGCTTTCAATGTCGCTTGGCTCTATGCAGCCCGCACACCTGCAGAAACATTATGTTCAGCCTCACCAATACTCACTCTGTGTCGTTTGTGTCTTAGGGAGGCCAATTCAAAATCTAACGCCGCGAGGGAGAAGGTGCTTCGGAGGTAAGTGTGTCCAATTTTTTCCGCTCCACCCAGACAAAATACGTTTAGTGTGCAGGCGCGTTGTTACTGTGAGATCTTGTAGTAAAGCTTTTTGGTATCTTTTTTCCATTTGCTGCTAGTGTTTGTCCTCTGATTATAACCACTTGCATTTTCTTTTTCAGGCTGCAGAAGTTGGAGCAGGCGATGGTGGGCGGAGAGCGGGCCGACGACTCAGCGCTCAAGGAGCGGCGCATGCGGCGGCGGCGCGCGGCGCAGCAGCGGCTGCAGATGCTGTCGCAGGTGCTCGCCAAGGTGGAGGACGAGGAGGGCATGGTGCTCAAGGTGTACGACGACATCCAGGAGGAGCTGCGCGTCAAGACGGAAGCCCTGCGGAAGAACAGGCAAAAGGTAAATCTTTTTAATATGGCGTATTCCCTTGCTTCTGTGCTGGGAGAGGGGGCCAAATGATGCCACATGGAATCCTATGGTCCCCCAGGTCCGCGCGCTGGACAGGGAGATTTCGGATCTGCAGAGCGAGTTCGAGAACGAGAGGACGGACTACTTGGAGACGATCAGGAGGCAGCAGCGACAGCTCCAGCTCGTGAACCAGATTCTTGAGAAGATTGTCCCGACCCTTCGAAAGGAGTGCAATTACAGGTTTGTACATAGACGTTGAGTCTGCCAAGGCTGTTGATATGCCCCCCCCCCACACACACATACACACAAAAACGACTGTTTTCCGAGCGACGATAAAGAAAACGCCTGCGACGCGCTGGGTAGGCCAACCCGCCCGGCAGCTGAGTGCGGACGGTGGCCCGCCCTGAACGCTTAGGTGCCGAAGGGGAGTGATTAAAGAGCCTCAGAGTGGGGCTGGGGTCTTTTTAGGAGTGGTGTGGCACCCGTTTATATCCATCTAATTGCACCTCTCTGCGCAGTAACGTGGAGCGCATCAAGCAGGAGGCCGCGTGGAGCGAGGACCTAGAGCGCTGGCGCATCCCCGAGCTGTGCGTCTCCAGGACGAAACTCCCTCCTGCAAGTGAGTCCTGTCCGGCCGTATTGAAACGGCGCACTTGAATCGCTCTTCCAGTCTTCTAACCTAACCTGAAACAATGGACACTGACGGAATATCTGCAGATGACGCTTTTGCCTAAACTAAACCTTACTGAACACGCAGTCCCTTTCGACAACGCGTTCGTGCGGCACGCCCTGGACGGCCTGACCAACGGGGTGGCGGCCACCAACGGCTCCGGCAGCAAGGGCTCGAGCAGCAAGAGCAGCGCCAACGGCTCGGCCAGCCTGGAGGCCAGCCCGGAGAACTCGGACCGGGCCTCGTCGCCGGGCTCGGACGACGGCAGCGCCATCATCCTCCAGGTAGAGTTGGGGCGCGGGGCGCGGGTCGGGCCAGAGGTCAGGGCGCGGAGGGTCGGCGCGCCCCTAAACAGGCCATGGCGCGTCCCATGAATAAGTGACGTGACGAGAATGAGTCCCCGCCGCGGATACCCCGCGCTGGAGCGCCGGGTCGATCCGGCCAGAGGCCCTGCCGGGCCGGAGGTCGCCGACGGCCCGCGGCCCGCGGAGGGTATCAACGGCGGCGAGGTCGGGGTATCGCCGCCCGAAAGCGCGCGCTCTCTCACTTGACCCTTTTCTGTGTGTGCCCCGCAGAAGCTGGCGCGCAGCGAGGCGGAGGACATCGCGGGCAACTACTTTAAGCCGCGGCGCGCCAATGAGCTGCTGACGCGCGCGCGCGCGCAGCGGGACGCCGCCCGAGTGATCAGTAGGTGGAGGGGTACGAGTCACCCGAGTCACGAGCGCGCAGCGCCGGCGGAGAGGCCGGCGGCCGGGACGTCCCTCACGAGCGCGCGTGTTGCAGGGGCCGTGCGCGAGAGTCGCCTCAACGGCCTGGACCTGCACAGCTCCATGGGCGCCCTCAACACGGTCGGCGGCGCGGGCCTGGCGCCCTCCGGTGGCAGCGGCGGCGCCGGCGGCGGCCCGGCCACCGCGCTGCAACTCAACTCCAGCTGGGGCTCCGGGCAGACCGCCAGCGGCTGGGTCGGTGAGTCTCCGGGAGAGGGGCTGGCGGGGGAGGGGGGCGGCTGGAGCGCCCGGCCGGCAGGCAACCCATCCGACACCGCGCTGTTGCAGGCTCGCCGGACCTGGCGATGCGGAAGCCGGCGCGCCTCGAGGCGCTGCCCGTGCTGGACCGCAAGCGCAAGACGGCGGCCGGCGACCTGCACACGTTCGAGCTCATCTGACCCCGGGCGGCCGGGGGTGGCCCCGCGCTCCCCGCCCCCCGACTGGCTGGGCCTGGGCCCCCGATGCTCTTGCTGACGGCGCCCGGCCGCGCCGCCCCCGTGCGGATCACCCAGCCGAGCTGAGCCGCAGATGATCTTCCGGAGGATTGTCGCTATCGCCGTCCTGGCGCGTCTGGCGCCACCCCGAATACGCGGGTGCTAAAGCCCCGCTGTCAGGCGAGCGGGAGGATTAGCCCGGCGACTGCTCGAGTCGCGCGCTCCTGAAGGACGGACGGGATTGGACCTCGGAGCAGGGGAGGATGTCTGGGACAGTTAAGTCCACGTCAGCTGATGACCCAACCCAGACTCCTCCTGGTGAAGGAAAACTCGACCCCCCGCGAGTACCCAGCAAGCGCAGTGCCGCGGATGCTTCGGGCTGCTCGAGTTCGGGTTGGTGTGCGAGCGAACACGCCACGACGTGCGTTGTGGCCCAGCACGCGCCGAACACGCTTACGGAGGCGGCACCTTGTCCCGCCGATCTAAACAGAATGATTATACGGGTTCGGCGAGGTGGGCTCGTGGGCTCGGGACCGGCAGGCGCCGCCTGCGCCGCCTCGTCCTCGCGACGGACGCCCTGTACCCCCTCTCCCTCTATTGCATCTGAACGTGGACATGAACATTGCACTGGTGAAAATGTTATACGTAGTTTCCATTTATTTAATCTTGTGTGAGTCAGTGAGCTCAAAGTTTATCCACCAACGTGTTTCTTTATCAGACTCTGATAAGGAATTGTCTAAAAGATTGATCCCTTATTTGCCTCTGAATGTAAACACAAATTATTTACTTAAATATAGAGTGGGACCATTAAACTATTAACAATTTACAATTTTGAATTAAAACCTCTTATGAAGAGAACATCTTAAAACTAGTAACGGAATTGGAAAATTTCCACCCTTCAAACCTTGAACTTTATGACTATCGCTATCAATAAGAGATAAAACATACAGTATGAAAAGATGTCCGTGAGTTTCAAATGCTAGCATTCATCTCCTATCGCCTTCAGTTAGATCCCTAGATTTGATGTGATGGACCTTGCAAGTGAAATTGTTTACTTTCTCAGTCCGTCATGCTCTTTAGGGGAAACTAAAGTGTGCTCTTCCAATCTGTTAATTTACTATCCATTTATGCTCCTCTCAAAAAGGTTTATGTGATATACATTTTAAGTCAGATTTATATGAATATTTTGTCTGTAACTCCCTGTCAAATTGAAAGATCCAACCACTGAAACGCTTTTCTGCGTCTCAAAACGATGGGGTGTAAGCTTGATGTGGAAATAATTACTTTCTCAAGTGTGAACCGTGTAAACCGGCCTGTAAATAAAACGACAATTATTTTATCCGTTTTTGAGTAATGAAGTTAACACACATCTCCGCTCCTGCCCCTCGTCCGATCGGTCGATGACAGTGCGCGGCGCCAGAGGCGCCAGGTGGTTCACGACCCACAGGATCACACCCGTCGACGCATTAGCTGCCCGCCTCTAACCACGGGCGACAGGCGCGGGGGCGCGAGGCGCGAAGGCGCGGGGCGCAGGACGACGGCGGGCGCGAACCGCCGCCATCTGATCTGATCTGCCTTCCGCTGCGACACAACGCGCGGCCCCCCGCCGCCCCGGCCGCAG